AAATGTGAGATAATGAAAAGATGAAAATAAAGTGTTTGTAGATGGGGAGGGGAGGAGCGGGTGAACGGAGGAAAGGAGTAAGGGGAAAAAATGAGAATCAAGACTTGTCATGTAGAGGTACAAGATCCCAACAATGAATGTAACTGTACTGTATCCCTAAAATGTACCAATAAACTCAATTAAAGCTGAAAAAAAAAAACCTGAAATCCTTCACGCTAAAATCAGGAACAAGGATGTCCACTATCACCTCTCCTGTTCAGTATAGTTCTGCAAAAATTACCCACAGCAATTAGAAAATACAAAGCAATAAAAGGAATAAAGATAGGAAAGGAAGACACCAAATTGTCATTATTTGCAGACAACGCAATACTCTATTAAGAAGACCCCAAGAACTCCACAAAAAAGTCTTCTAGACTTAATAACCAAATTTAGTAAAGTAGCTGGATACAAGGTTAACACAAAAAAATCAATAGCTTTTCTGTACACTGAAAACAGACTCACTGAGATAGAAATGGGGCAATAAATTCCTTTCACAATAGCATCCAAAAAAATTGAAATACCTAGGAGTCAACCTAACAAAAGAAATCAAAGACCTCTACTCTGAAAACTACAGCACTCTGAAAACGGAGACTAATGAGGATATCAGAAAATGGAAAGACATCTCTTGTTCTATGGTACGAAGAATCAACATAGTGATAATGTCCATACATCCAAAAAAATATATAGATTCAGTGTAACCCCAATTGAAATCACAGAAGCATACTTCACAGACCTTGAGAAAACAATCCAATTATTCATTTGGAACAAGAAGAGACCTAGAATAGCAAAAGCAATTCTAGGCAATAAAGAGAAGCTAGGGGGTATCACAATTCCCCAACTTGAAATGATACTACAAAGCTACTGTGATAAAAACAGCATGGTACTGGCAAAGAAACAGACCTGAGGACCAGTGGTACAGATTAGAAGATGCAGAAACAACTCAACACACTCAGCCACCTCATATTCCACAAAGGAGCCAACACCCTCCCTGAAAAAAGATATCCTCTTTAATAAGTGGTGCTAGAAAAACTGGGTTTCAACTTGCCAAAGACTAAAACTAGACCTATATCTCTAACCATGCACTAAATGAAAATCAAAATGGATTACAGATCCATTTTATAGAAAAACCACATCTTCCAACTGATGGGCAATTGGGCCATTTCCAAGTTTTAGCTATTACAAACTGTGCCGCTATAAACATAGGTGTGCAAATATCACTGTAATATGATTTTTTTAATTAATTGACAATGTGAAAAAGGAAGAAAGGGCTAACGGTGTAGGGGAAGTGGAAAGGGTAGGGGAAAGGAAATAAGGGAAAAGAAAAAAATATGAGCAAATGGAAAGTGTTTGTAAGTGGGGAGGGGAGGCGGGGTGAAGGGAGAGCAAGGGTATGGGAAAAAAATGACAACTAAGACCTGAAAAGTAAAGGTACAAGATCCCAATGATGGATGTAACTGTACTGTCTGTATACCTAAAAAGTACCAATAAACTCAATGAGGAAAAAAATGGATTAAAGATCTCAGTATTAAAGCAGAAACAATAAATCTGCTGGAAGAGAGGTTAGGTAGAACTCTTGAAAACATTCCAGTATTATGTGATGTAATTCAATACCCATTATTTTAAAAAATATATGCTTAAAGGAAATTGAGAGAGAAACTTACTTAATTTTTTTAAATCTACAAATAACTACCACAAACATCACATTTAACAGAATAGTAAAATTGTTCCCTAAAATAAATAATCAGACAAGAAAACCATTGTTCTTGTCCATTTTGGTAAATAACATTGATGGTCTGTGGGAGACAGATTTTGTGATGTGATCTCCCAATGTTTTTACCTTTGAAGGTACCCAAGATCTGTGACAGAATATGACAAAGGTCATGGATATCACATCCCTGATTTAGTTACATATGTCTCTCATCTTATAAGAAGACTTTCTCTAACATACTGTTCTGTTGTGAGCTGACCTATAGAGAGCATCATATTGCAGACAATGGAGGACAGCCTTGGGCCAAAAGCCATCAAGAAGCTGAGGCCATGAATAATACAATGTGCAAGACAACTACAAGGCATGATCAAAAAACACAGTGAATGACCAAAAATTTTTAATTTGTTACAGTAAAACACATATTGCCATAAATCCCCTCAAATTACTCCACCTCATTTCAAACACATTTCTTTCATCATTCTTGCCACTTTATGAAGCACTTCTGGAAGTCCTCTTTTGTGAGTGCAGTGTCTTCTGTTGTGCTGTTATGTCCCGAATTAATGAAAAACATTCACCTTTTGGGGTCATTTTGAAATTGGAGAAGAAGAGAAGTCACACAGTTCCAGATCTGATGAATAAGTTGGATAAGATCACACTGTTTTTACCAGCCTGCCTTTCCTCTGGACAGTACTCACTGGTAAAATTCGCTGTACTTTTTAAAATCATAACTCATAAGGACATTGAAACAGAATTTCCTGAACTGTTTTAGAAACTAGAAAGAATAAGAAGAAAAGAGTGTTCTAACTGAAGGAAAATACTTGAGGAGGACTAGTGGCAATGTGTCTGTAATAATTTCCTGTGATAATTTTTTTTTTATTTTAACATTCACCATGTAATACCAACATGTCAGCATGAAAATGGATTCTTCTCCAGTCAGGCTACAGCCAACTTAACAATAGTTTGTAAGATTCTGAAACAATAAATTCAGCTACTCTATGCCTATTCTCCTACTCCAGTGAATTAAAAGATAATGCATATTATTTTAAACCACTAAGACTGCAATAATCAAAGAAGACCTTAAGTAAACATATATTCACAGATTGAATGATCAATATTGCCATTCTCTATGACAGTATGTTAGCTGTCAATCTCTGAAGAACAAAAATTAAAACAGTGCCCTTCTCTTCTGAGGGGGACTAATAAAGTATGACAAGTTAGTGAACATTCTTTAGTTACATGATGAAATGTATTTTTCTAAAAAGATAAATATTACATTTTGTAAATATTAAAATGACTCAAAGTTCTTGGGATCTACACTTATCCTAAATTTTTAAGTTTGTTCCTACCAATTAATCTACCTTGAGATAATATTAAAATTAAAAATCATCATCACCAATCATTTCCTCCTCCCAAAAGTTCCATAAAAGGAACATTCCTTTCAACACTAGAATTGTGAAGGAAAAAAATATTCTTTGCATCCCCACAAAAGTGTAGTCAGATCTACTGAAAGCATTAAAAGAAAATCTTACCAGCAGATAGGGATAAAATCAGCATCATAATTGGAATATTAATATTTTTATGTTAAAGAAAAAATAGTGTAACAACTCTGGAATATATTTAAAATTGTGCAATATCCTGAAATTTCTGCCAAATAACTTACTTTAAATTTAAAATAAAATAGTCAGGCGTGGTGGTGCATGCCTGTAATCCCAGCACTTGTAGGCTGAGGCAGGAGGATCACTGTGAATTCAAGACCAACCTGGGTCACACAGTGAGTTCCAGGTCAGTCTCAAGTACATAGTGAGACCCTGTCTCAAAAAACCAAATAAATAAATAAAATTAAGTAGCAAAAACTAGGTCTAATCTAAAGAAAGAAGTACTGTCTAGTTTTAACAAATGTCCCCTAAAGACTCATGTATTGAAGGCACTAATCTCATCAACTAATTAAAGGACTGATAAACTCACAGCCAAGTAAGCTACTAGAAATTGAGGTCCAGTGGGAAATATAGGTCACTGGGATATGCTAACCTCACCCCTTCATCTCTCTCTGCCTCTTTCCTTTTCTTTCGTTCTCAGCTTCCATAAAATGAGAAGTTTTCGTTCACCCTGACCTTCTACCATGATGTTTCAGCCAGCCATGGACTGAAACCTTTGAAACCATAAACAAAATAAACCTTTTCTCCTTTGATTGTGTATGTCAAGATTGTCCCCGCAATGGAAAGTTGATAATACAAAGTGTAATAAAGAATATTTATATATGTCATCTTTTTCTCATCTTATCTATAAAAAAGGTGTACTTCATTAACTCTACCCATATCACTGTGATTCATAATCAATTACTATCATTCAATAACATAAAGTGAGTAACATCTTGGGCCCAAAGCCAATGAAACTTGCCTCCATTATTTACCTTCCTTCATTTGAATGGCATTTCCTCATCTGGATAAATTTACTTCTCAGAGATTTCTCTTCCCATCTTAATATCAAAATTTCCTGTGATATTCTTTTCCAAGCACAGCAAAGTGTTTCATTGTTTCCCAAGCGATAAATATCAGATTATTTTATAGAGTTAAAGTACATTACAGGTTTTACTTCACCTCTTGATGGATTATCAGTTAAACAGAAGTGCATTATGCTCTATGTCTGAACTGAATCCATTATTAGAGATATTAAAAAAACTTAGTATAAATAAAATCTAATAACTTTCCATTGATATAATTTCCACTTTTGATTATAATACTTAATTCTGCAGTGGAGGAATTTGAATTCTGATCAAATTAACATCACTGACAACATTCATCTTAGATGTTTAGTGTTGCTCTGAAATTAGTAGCAACATATTTTGGATATCTGAAATGTTTTTCAATGCTTTTTAAATGTAAAAACATATTTAAGCAAAAGGCAATGGTTAAAGCACAGAAAGTAACTGACATGATTAAAGGTATAGAAATACATTTATTGTATACTGACTTTTAAATTTCAGATCTGGGTTTTCAGTAACATGCTCCAGAGAAAAGAATGTATTATTGGTAAAATATTGGCTTAAAGCTAGGAGAAGATAACGTGGAGGTATCTCCCATTAATAGGTAACACCAATTATTCATTCTCAAAGAAAATAAACTGCTACAAAAGGAAGAATGAATAAATTATTTCTAGCTGTTGAGATAATGAAAAAGTCTGTCAAGTTAACATGAAACTTGTTCAATGAATCATTTTGCTGTACACTGCAATTGTTTAATTCATATATTCTCACCGTTCTCGGTTAAATTTAAGAGAATGAAGAACAGCTGGCCTTTTTTGTCTAAGGTTCCACAAATGAAGGGTATCATCTGAACTTGCACTAACCAAAGCACCCTGTAAAAAAAGAAGACAATGTTAAGTGTGTGCTTTCCTTAAAGAAATATTATCATAGTGAATATTAAAGTTTTCTCTGTCTCCTTTAGGAAACATGAAATTTAAACTTCTTTTGTTCTTACTCTCACATATGCACTATAAATCTTTACACAGAAGCAAACAGTGTGAAAAACTATAATAATACATAAGATCCTAGTGATATAATTGACAATGTGAAATAGGAAGAAAAGGGCTAAAGGTGTAGGGAAAGTGGAAAGGATAGGGTAAAGGTAATAAGGGAAAAGAAAAAAATATGAGAAAATGTAAAAATGGAAATAAAGTATTTGTAAATAGGGAAGGGAGGAGGGGGCGAAGGGAGGGCAGGGACAAAGGGAAAAAATGAGAAACAAGACCTGTCATGTAAAGGTATAAGATCCCAATGATGAATGTAACTGCATTGTATACCTAAAATGTACCAATAAACTCAATGAAAAAAAAAAGCAAATAAACAACTCAGTTTTATAAATCAAACATATGACATATAAAAATTCTCCTTCAAAAGAATTTTCTTATATTTTAAAAATATGTTTTTATTAAAAATATATATTTGCTGGGGGCAGGGATTTAGCTCAGTTGTGCTGCTGCCTGTCTCACAAGCACAAGTTCAAGTTCAATCTGTAATACCAAATACATACACATACATACACACACATAAAATTTAAATTTATTATTTAAATATTTATTTAATATTTTAATAATTTTATTTTAGTATTTTTTTACTTATTTTTTATTTTTATTGAGTTTATTGGTACAATCTAGGTCTACAATACAGTTACATTCATTAATGGGATCCTGTACCTTCACATGACAGTTCTTGGTTCTCATTTTTTCCTTGTCCCTGCCCTCCCTTCACCCTCCTCCTCCCCTCCCCATTTACAAACTCTTTATTTCCATTTTTACATTTTTTCATATGTTTTCTTTTCCCTTATTTCCTTTCTCCTACTCTTCCCACTTTCCCTACACCTTTAGCCCTTTTCTTCCTATTTCACACTCTTAATTATCCCATTAGGATCTTGAGTAGTATTATAGTTTTTCACACCAGAGAAACTATTTGGTATTTACACATGTGTGACTTATTTATTTCACTTAAGAGTATATCCTCAATATGTATCCATTTTCCTATGAATGAATGGTGCAACCACTATGGAAATCAATATGGAGATACCTCAAAGAGCTAGATCTAGAGGTTCCATTTGACCCAGCCATCCCTCTGCTGGCTATCTTTCCAAAAGATTTAAAAGAATCATACCACAGAGATATATGTGCACCAATGTTTATAGCAGCACAGTTTGTTTACTTTTTAAATGTAATTTAAATATTATTATTATTATTATTTAAATGTATATATATATATATATGTATATATGCATTTGCTTTAATTTAATCTGCTTCTGATAGCCCAGGAAGGTTCACCTAATTCAAACAAAAATATCTGTCAAAGAAAGAAAATATTTTTTCTAGATTTCAACTAGATTCAGTATAACTGTAAAAATAATACAAATGTAATCCAACATCACCAAATACAAATGAATTTTACTTCAAATAATAGATACAGTTTATTTTACTTCTTATCATGGCTACAAGCATATGGACAGGCAACTACATTAAATAGATATAGATAGTATTTCAGCATGTTAAGATCATCTTGAAATATCAGAACTTTTAACAGAATCATTATAGAAAGTATGACAGAGACTAAAGTTCCAATACAGTAATGACCGTTCTCTAATAGTTATCTAGTAGATTGACGGTGATCCCGAATTCTTAAAATTCTTTACCTATTTTCTAAAATCCTGTGTTACAAATAACCTTTCAGAGTTCACAACATCAATCAAAGATACAACAATGATTATCTCATTAACATGCTAGAAAGAACTATACTGGAACTCGCAGCACTTATTTCTTCTTTAGGAGGAGTTAAAGGAGAGCAGATAGGAATTTAAATTTCTTTCTGAAACATTTCCTAATCTCAAAACATTCCTGAACCCAATAATGTTTCTCTAAATGTACCTGTGATTTTAGTTTCAGAGAGGAATAGTTTATTTAAGTAAAACACAGGTGTCTACATTAAAAATTAAATGTTGTTTACATATACATAAATATACATGTCCAAAGATACACCGAATGATGTGTATTTAAACATGAACTCATAATTTTATACCATGCAATGAGATAACCTATACATGTCATGACAATTATTCTACTTGCTTGCATGTTTTATTTGAAAACTGTATATATGTTTCCTATGCATAAACTACAAAGTTACTAGAATTCCATGAAATTACTTGATGAATTAAAATTAATTTTTTGAGATTAAAAAAATACTAATCTCATTTCTCTGAGATGTAGAACACTTGGTAGAATATTTCGTAAATGGTAGAACAGAATATAACCTATAAATTCAATAAAACATACATGACAACATGACTAAAACTCTTGAAATCATAGCCATAGGAGAGGACTTTCTGAACAGAACCCCAGTTGTACAGGAAATAGTACCAAGAATCAACAAATGGGATCATATTAAATGTAAAAGCTTCTGTAAAGCAAAAGAAACAACAGAGTGAAAAGACAACCTACAAAATGGGAAAAAGTTTTGCCAGCTATTCCTCAGAGGACTAGTATGTAGAACAAAGAACTCAACACAATTAGACTCCCAAAATAAAAGACCTCATCAAAAAAGAGAAAATGAAATGAACAGACAATACTCAAAAGAAGCACAAATAGCTGATAAAATGAAGAAATGCTAAACAAGAGAAATGCAAAGTAAAATAACACTAAGAATTCCATCTAACCCCAGGGAGAATGGCCATTATCTAGAAATCAAACAACAAATGTTGATAACGCTGCTAAGAAAAAAAAAAAAAAACTTCTACATATTTGGTGGAAATGTAAAACAGTACAACCATTATGGAAGACAGTGTGGAGGGTGATTCCTCAAAAAACTGAAGCAAGAAATTCTAGTTGACCCAGCTACTCTCCTTCTAGGTATCTCCTAGAAAGAGTTAAAGATACATGCATACCTATGTCATACCAGCACAATTTATAATAGCTAAGTCTTGATAATGGCCTATATGCCTATCAACAGATAAAAGGATAAAGAAAATGTAGTATTTACACACAATGGAATACAACTCTGCTGTAAAGAAAAATGAGTTTAAGTCATTCATAGGAAAATGGTTGCCAAGTTGAGACCATAATGTTAAGTGAAATAAATCAGACAAGTTTAAATATTGCATGATTTCTCTTATATGAGAAACCAAAAGTAAAAATATAGAGCAAAATAAAAGGAAATAGGAAGTAGAAAGATAGATCTTTCTCAAAGAGGAAAACATTCAGAATGGAGGAGGGTGGAAAGAAAGGAGGGATTGGGGATAAAAAAGGAATTAAGATGTGTTATTTATATATACCAACTCCACACAAGGAATCTAAACATGCAAAATAAAAATAAAGGGGATGAAAAGATGGGTGGAAGGGGAAAGCTATGAAAAAAAAAGGAATTAGTATGTTTTATGTACATGTACCAACTCCCCACAAGGAATGTAAACATTATTCACTACACACATGTACTAATAAAATTTTGAAAAAGAATATAACAGATAAAAGCAACACACATGGTTAGGGCTGTATTACAAAATTTAAATTGGTAAGAAAAGAGTAGACAGAAAGAAAGTTTAATGGCCAGTAAAGAAATTAAAGGCCTTTAGGTCTTAAAAAAAACAAATAATTAATCTATATTGTGCTATACAGTTGCAACAACAGGATCTTTTCTTATATACAAAATTTTGCCTTTAAAATTTAGCAAATTGATAGTCTTTTATGAAAAATGTGACAATGAATAATATTGCATACATATACTTTCAAATATTTACAGCCATAATTTAAAAAGAATGTGTAATTTATGGATTGAACATTCCCAACCCAAAAATCTAAAATACCAAATGCTTCAAAATCTGAAATTTGTTGAGTGTCAAAATGATAAAACAAGAACACAATTCCAAACTTGACTTCATGTGATGGGTTGCAGTCAAAATGCAAGCACATTGAAAACATTTTGTAAAATTACCTTCAGACTGTGTGTAGAAGGTACACATGAATATAAATAAATTTCATGTAACTTGGATCTCATCCCCAATATAACTCATATGTTTATGCAAATGTTCCAAAGTCCAAATACAAAGAAACACAAAAACAAAATCTAAAACATTTATGATCCTAAACATTTTAAATAAGGGATATTCAACCTGTTATATGGTAGGCATGTATGTGTGTGTGCATATTTTAAAAGAAAATAGTGTATTATGAATTTTAAATCATCAAAGAAAATCCTTACCTCATTAACCAAGAATTGGAGCTGCAAGACAGCTGCACCACTTTCATGTTGGCAGTAACAATCAACACCAGGTCTCCCAAGTCTAACATAATAAAAGTTAAGGATTCTAAATTTTAATTAGCATAGAAACCAAAGAGTAGAGTAAAAACTAACATATTAAAAAACAAAGCTCTTGCTTTTTATCTTATTTTTTAAATAAAGTATTGAAAAATTTTTGTTTACACAAATTATACAGCACAGATGTTTCATATGCTAGAGCTTTATAAAAAGAATGACAAGTAAAAAATTGAAAGGTAGCAGTTTCCTTCCCATAAAGTAAAACAAATTATGATTTTATATACATCTGATTTCATTTCAGATTAAAATGACTAAACATTTCTTTCCCTAAAATAAGTTCAAGATGAGCCAAATATTTTAATGTAACAAGTGAAATAATACAACTAGCAAAATATTTATGTAACTATGACGACAATCTGATATATAGAAACATCCTAATCATAATTTAAAATCCATAAGGCATAAAGAAATAATTGACTATATAAAAATATAAAATTTCTGCATGCAAAAAGAACACCATAAATACTCTTGAAAATGGAAATACTAGGAAATAACTAGTGCTGTATTAGGAGTCATTATTTATAATAAGAAATCAATATAAAAGAGAAAAAGTAGGGAATATGAAGAAAACAAGGAGAATGAGAAAACACATTATATAAAAATAATATATTTATTAATATATCTTGTACCAAGTTATATGTATCACTGTGTTTCTGTGTTATCATTTGTTTCCGAGATATAAAATGCATAACAGTTTCCCCTGCCAGCCATAACGAAGAAACCAGCACCAGTTTTACACTTTCACCTAAAAAGTAGAGTAAAGCCTAGGTTCATGAGCATAATTCAAATTAAGAATAAGAAAGCATAAAGAAAAAGAAACAAATTAACCTACACTTACCTTTGAAAAATTTCTGGGTGATGTGAGGGAGCCAAAAAAGAGGAGGCTTATTGTGTAGGACAACTTTCATTACCACTCTGGGAATCACTGCTATTAGTTTAATGGAATCATATTCTTTTTGAGCAATTTTTAAAAAGAACCTACCCAATGACACTTGTTTTTGCCTCCTTTTGAGGATTTTACAGATATGTGATATTTTATTGTCATTAAACTGATTAATTGTGTACACTGCTACAGCCTCATTTAGGTGGTGCTTTTCTACAAAATTTTGCACTATTTTCTACATTTCCCTAATCTTATTTGAAATGAGAGATTCCTCTGCCTTCTTCACTTCCTCCTCTGCAGAAGAGATCTGCTCCATAACCTCCTGCTATTGGGAGACTATCACACACGGGGTGGAGGGCAGGCAGAAAGACAAAGACGGAGAGAGAGAGAAACAATGGGGGAGGAAAGATAGGAAGGGGGAAAGAGGATTATGAGAGAGAACCAGTTGCTCAGTTGTGATCATGTGACATTCTGCTTATATTGCAAGACACGGTTCATTTATCAAGTTAAAATTGATTAGAAATGTTTGCTTATCTTGCAGAACACTCACAGAACAAGTTACTTATAATCCAAGGGGTTTTCAATATAGATAAAATTTATAGAACTATAGTTTTTAAACATTGCATATCAGGTGAACAATAATGGTAATCACTTAAGGAGATTGTTTTAAAAATATGTAGTGAATATGAATATTATTGCCCCAGCTTGCTGCCTAGAGAGTTTCCAGGCCAAAGCATGGAGATGGGAACTCAGGAATCTACAAAGTTCTCTGAGTTGAGGCAACAGAATTAAGACTGTGGAGGGCAAGGACAACTAGAGCTCACAAGGCAGAGCAATAAACAAGAAAAAGTAATACAAACAAGAACTCCAGAGATTTGTGGAAGGTTCTTCGGCTAAGTATTGATCAGAGAATAATAGGTTTGACAAAACTATAAACAACTCAAGAAAAAACAAGCCAAGAAGGAAATAAGATCATTTCTGATGATAAACCAATATAAAAAAGATTCCTTTAAAAATAATAACAAAAAAATCAGCCCTCCCCCAAATATAAAGACCCGATTCAAAAATAGGCATCTGAAATGAACAGACATTTCTCAGACAAAGAAGTAAAAACAGCAAGTAAATATATGAAAAAATGTTCCACATTACTGGTCATTCGGGAGATGCAGATGAAAAAGCAAAAACTGAGATTCCACCTCACCCCACAAAGAATGGCTGCTATCAAGAAATCAACCAATAATAAATGTTGGCAGGGTTGTTGAGAGACAGGAACCCTTCTCCATTGTTGGTGGGAGTGCAGAATGGTGCAACCACCTTGGAAATCAATATGGAGATGCCTCAAAGAGTTGGGACTAGAGGTTCCATTTGACTCAAAACATATAAATAAGTACTGTGTTACTAAAAAGCGTGTTCTCTGAATGTCAGAGATGTCAATGTTAGAAATTGATAGAAAATTCTCCTAATGTTTATACATTAAATTACAACTATTAAGTAAGTACTAGTAAAAAAAAAATAAAGGATAAGAGTACTTAGAATATACTCTTAATAGAATAATGAAAATATATCAAAAGTACAGGCTATAGCTAATGCAGCACAAAAAGGTAAATGTGGGCCAGGGATTTAGCTCAGTGGTTCAGTGGCCTGCCTTGCAAGCGCAAAGACCTGAGTTCAATCCCCAGTACCAAAAAAAAAAAAAAAATAAATCTGAGCTTATATATTCATTTAAGTTTTTCTTCAAAGAAAACTCCAGGCCTAGAAAAAAATTACTTGCGAAGTTTATAAAGCATTTATAGAAAAAATAATACCAATTCTACAAAATTGAGCAGAATGAATACTTTCAGACTTGTTCTATGAAGATAGTACTTTCTTGGTACTAAAACAAAGGCATCACAAATACAGAAAAACTTCCAACTAATACACTAATCAATATTTTGGTATGCTGAATATGTTATATAAAAAGAATTGTACATTATGGCCAAGTGGGATTCATCTCAGGAATGTAAAGATAGTTTAATCTTCAAAACTTTCCTATTAGTTGAAATAACTATTTTGATAGATACAGCCAAAGCATTAGATAAAATTCAAATACTTGTTAATAAAATTGCCCAGTAAACTAGGAAAAGTACTAAACTTTCTTAATCTGATTTAATGTGTCTAAGAAAATTCTACACACAATTCTCAATAAAATGCACAATACTTTCTACTTAACATCACTTCTATTTAACAACATACTATATATATTACAAGTGCAATTAGGTGAATTAAAAAAAAAGGATGACATGAAAGCTGGAAAGTATTAAAGTTTTCTCTTCAGTAAACATAATACAGAAAATTGTAATCTTAAAAATGCACTAAAATAAGTGAATTACATAAGGTTGCAAAATACAAGATAGAAACTTTAAAATATATTTTCTTCTACTAGAAAATAATTGCACATTTGTAAATTGCATTTATAATAACAGAAAATTACTTTTGAATAGTTTTAAAGATGTTTTTACTAAAAGCAATAAAATACTGTAAAGATACATTTAAAAGAACCTAAATAGTTATGTGCCATATTCATAAAAGATTTGACACTAATAAGGCAATCTTCCCTGAATTTATCTAGATTCATTAAACTTAAAATAAAATCCTAATAGCCCTCCTTTTGACAAAGTTAACAGCTGAAAAACTGTTCATTAAATCACAATGTACAGATAAGTAAGCTTTCCCCAAGGAGGAAATTTGTATTCTGAATAATTGCTTTCATCTCCACAGATTAATGATTTTTAGGTAGAGAGAAAAAAGCTAATGCAATGAGAACTCTGAATCCAATTTTTAAAGTCTGACCATTAAGAGCTTTTAAACCTCACTCTACCTTCCTGTTTCCTGTGTGTCCAAATCAGAACAAAATAATAATAAAAAAAATCTGGCTTATTTGTTGTTTGGTCCCATCAGTAAATTCAAATCATGCAAGTTCTTGCTTTGGCAGAGGAACTCCCACTCTAGTCCCACCTGCAACCACAGTAAAGCTTATTATCTTTCCTTTCTCTGAAGCCATCTTGCACCTACTTGAAAGATTTGCCTTATCCACTCAATTTTGTAAGAAATAAATATTTTCATGCCCTGAGTAATGTATGTGATGTAATCAGTTTTAATATCAGAACTGAAGTTTGGGTGAGGCAGGTAACCATATAATCACTTTATCCCCCATAAAGTAAATCCACTCTACTACTGAGTAACAACACAATATCCCTATTAGCTGACAAAGGTGTGAACTGTCCACAAAAGGTAGGAAATATTGAATATTTTCAACATTAGGCCTACAAATTACTTTTCTGGAGTTATGAAATTTAGTCTGTTAGGGCTTTTAACAAGATTTTCCCACACACAAAGCCTCAAGCACTTATGGGTGGAGCTTTACAGAGATGACTGGGATTAAATTGTACAATGATAGGGTTAAACGTATGTGATTACTAAATTAGTCCAATGATTGGCTAAGTATAGTTTTCAGTGTTGATAATGGGAAAGCCCACCCTGGGTGTGGGAGGCACTACCCAAAAAGCAGGTAGGCTGGAAGGAATAAAAAAAGAGAGGCTTCTGTCTCACTGTTTGCTGCCTTCTGCCTGTCATGATCTGTTTCTCCTCTGTGATGCACCCCTGCCATGCCACCCTTCCTTGGAGCCAGCTGACTATGGACTGAAACCTCTATAAGCTGTGATCTACAGCAAACCTTTCTTCCTTTAACTTTGGGTGTCAAGTATTTTATCTCAGCAGTGAGAAAAGTAACTAAGATAGTCTCCCACTTGAGTAATGCATAGCTACAAGGAAGAGCCTGACTACTCAAGGATGTTGTCAAGTGTGAATATTTCCTTATAAAGGGGCAATGGGGAAAATATAAGAGATGCTGTATAGCAGTGTCACCTAGTAAAAATTTAAGAGCAAACAATTGCTATTTTGCCTTTGTCCACACCACTAGCCTTTATTTGCTACCTAAATAGAAAGTGTCATTTTTATAGATGCTCATTTTTATGTAATATCCAAAATTAAACTTCCTAGTGCTATTTTAGCATTCAGTAAAAGACTTGTATAGAATCAATTTT